AACTGCCCAAAGTAGTTTGGGTAACAGCTTAGTAACAGAAAAATTACTATGTTATGTTGTATTGGAATATTTAAATGTATCCCTTTATTTAGTATTAGGATTTAATTCATTATGTATATCAAAATTAAACTACTCAAATAAAACATTCCCGAGTCAGTTTCTTACCTTGTCTTGTTTCCCTCTCTATTCCCTATGAACTAATAATAAGCTGAGAGAATATCCCACAAATCTGAACCAACCTATTAGGAATCTTATGAACACCATCCCAGAAAGTTCCTTGACGAGGACTCCAGGGGAATGCATTTAAATTCCAAAACCCTGACACAGTTCACCTCTCTCGCAGATTTACCATAGTAATATTAAAATATAAATTATAGATTGCCTATATTTGACAAAAGACATTTAACAGGCTTTTAATAATAAGAGTTTTAATTATGCAATTTACAAAAAGATTCATCCTCAGGTTCCTTTAAGCAGGAAGGTTCTTTAATACATTTAAAATATAATTTGAATCTGAAGATTACATACCAGTGTTACCTCCTTGAAGATGGATTGAGATGTGATCAGCCTCTACTTTCTATTTAACACATTTCTGTAGCATTTTAATTACTTTATTACAGATATATAGTACTTTAAAATAGACTTAATTAGAAGAAGTGGTAGCATAAAATATGATTTTGTTTTAAACTTAGATTTATTTGCAAAGGGCAACAATATGCCAGTACATACTGCAAAGCCCTAGAAACCATGAAAAGTCTTAAAAGATTAATTTTTGGTGCTTCTGAGGATAAAGACTAAAATGAAATTTATTTTCAAATTCATGTATCTAGCAGTAGTGAGAGTCACACAATAAACTCATGTATCTTTCTACGGCATTTAAAGTTAAGAAATATAAAGCATTAATACAAACATTATTTTTTATAAAATAAAATATAAAACTCTTAGGAATTTTTAAGATAAAAAAAAAAAACTTAAGAGAAATTCCAACTTTACTATACCTGCTTCAGGCTCTATTCCTAACTCTTTCGGCAGTATGAGTATATTCTCCCCTTCTCTCAAGTATACTTTCTGGTGAATCAAAAGAAAACCAAAATGTAAATGTACAGCAATCAAAAGACATGGAGTGGCTGAATGGATAAAATCACAAAACCGAGCTCTATGAAGTCTGCAAGAGACTCAACTTGGATTTAAAGACATCGACCAGAAATGAAGGGATGAGAAAAAATATTATTATTAGAACTGATAAATGAACTCAGTATTTGTAGGACACATAATCAGCCTATTAAAAAGTTGCATTCTATAAACTAACAGTAAACTATCTGAAAAGAAACTTAAGAAAAGAATCCCATTTACAATAGCACCAAAAAATAAGATAAAACGTTTAAGAATAGACGTAAGCAAGGAAGTGAAAGCCTTTTCTAGTGAAAAATATGAAACATCAATGAAAGAAATTAAAGCACACAGACAGATGGAAAGACATCCCATGTTTATGGATTGAAAAATTAATATTGTTTAAATGTCCATACTACCCAAAGTGTTCTACAGATTTGGTGCAATCCCTACCAAAATCTTGATGGTATTTCTTAAAACAGCAAGGCACTGATATAAAATATAAGTATATATACTAATAGAACAGCATAGACAGGCCCAGAGAAAAGCCTGCAGGTATGTGGCCAACTGACCTTTGACAAGGGTGCCAAGTAGGCACGGTAGGGAAAGGATAATCTCTTTAATAAATGGTGTTGGGAAAACTGGACATATACATGAAAAAGAATGAAATTGGATCCTTATATTACCACTCAAAAAAGTTAACTCAAAGTTGATTAAACATAAGACCAAAAACGATAAACCTCCTAAAATAAAACAGAGAGAAAACCTTGACATTGGTCTTGGCAATGATTTCTTGGGTATGACACCAGAAGCACAAGCAGCAAAAGCAAAAATAGACAGGTGGGACTACATCAAACTATAAAGTTCCTACACAGCAAAAGAAACCATCAGCAAGATGAAAAGGCAACCTTGGAGTGTGAGAAAATATTTCAAACTATTTGATAAGGGGTTAATTTCCAAAATATATAGGGAACTCCTACAACTCCACAGCAGAAATACAACTGATCTGATTTTTAAAATGGGCAAAGGACTGGCACAGACATTTCTTCAAAGAAGGAATACAAATGGCCAACAGGTATATACAAAATGCTCAACATTGCTAATCATCAGGGAAATGCAAATCAGAACCACAACGATCTATCATTATCACTGCACACTTGTTAGCATGGCTATTATTAAAAAGTCAAAAAGATAACAAGTGCTGCCTGGAGTGTGAAGAAATTGGAACCCTTGTGCATAATTGGTGGGAATCTTAAATTGGTGCAGCCACTATGAAAAAAAAAAAGCATAGAGATTCCTCAAAAAATAAAAATAGAGCAACCAAAAATCCCACTTCTGAGTATGCATCCAAAAAAAATTGAAATCAGGATCTCAAAGAGATGTCTACAGCATTATTCACAACAGCCAAGATATGTCCATGGGTAACGATAAGATACTGTGCACTTAAAAATTTGTTACGAGGGTAGATTTCATGTTAGTTGTGTATGTGTTTGTGTGTGTGTTACCATATGCAAACATACAAAGGGACACAAAGAAAATTTGGAAGTGGTATATTTATTACCTTGATTGTTTTAATGCAACATGAATTTATAATCTGTCTGAACTCATCAAACTGTATATATCAATTATATAGTTGTGAGGTTTTTTGGTGTACCAATTATACCTCAATAAAGCTGGAAAAAATATACTAATAACTGAGACTTTCTTTATGGATGATCAGAAGTGTTGAAAGAGAAATAAAAGTAAATACCCCACCAAAGAAAATCAGAGAGTTAAGCCACTTGAAGTGATATTTATAAATAAATATGTGTAATGTTAAACTTTCTGTATTGTTTTTAAATCTAGTAAAAATTCACCATTTTAAGAGCATCATTTGGTAAGAAAAGCAGAAAAACCACACTCTTGTACTATAGAAGCTTTCCTCACTACTATTTATAGCCTGCCATTAATCACGTGAAATATAAAACCCTGTATTTCTGAAGCATAGTAAGAAATGCTTTTTTTAAAAAAAATGGGTACTTAAAAATTAAAAATGAATACCTGAAAGAGATTATCTGAGTTCTTTTATTACAAAAAAAAAGTTAATCATGAAATAGAATAGTCTCAGATCTGGTTGGGATTGTTTTTCATTGATTGTGTTACCATTAAACTTAAGTCCTTGATGTTGAAGATCAGTTATTGAATGTAGTGGGAATATTTTTGGCTGTACATTGTGGAACCGGTGCCATGTTATCTTTGTAGGGTGTGAACATGCCACTTACTCTATTCTCTTGATCAGTCTATAAAATTACAATTTTATTAGCTTCATGAGCAATTATTAGTTTCTCTAATATGGCAGAGTTGTATATATTTTTCTTATCCATATGGTTGTTAATTCTGCTCTTCAAGAAGTTAAGTTTTGCCCTGACGTATTATGCTATTAGTCTGCCCTGATCTGTTCAAACTTGATCCCTTTGGGTACTTCAGGTTATGAAGAAGCATTATTGGTAATCAGTAGCCATGTTCTTGAACCCAGTTTTTCTGTGATGCTAATTTTTTATGATTCTATGATACATAGATATAGATATATATATAGATACATAGATATGCATACATCTATAAACACTCAATGATTTTTACAGAAGTAAACCAAAGTCTTCTTGATTATTATCTCCTAAGAGTACCATAATGCTTACTTATTTCTAGATATGACCTGCATACTAATTACATATTAAAAGTCATAAAAATTATTATTTTTTTTAAAGATTTTATTTATTTATTTGGCAGACAGAGATCACAAGTAGGCAGAGAGGCAGGCAAAGAGAGAGGGGGAAGCAGGCTCCCCCCTGAGCAGAGAGCCCGACGCCGGGCTTGATCCCAGGACCCTGGGATCGTGACCCCAGCTGAAGACTGCTAATGTTGAGCCACCCAGGTGCCCCCAAAATTATTATTGTTGATAATATAACTATTATTATATACATTATACATATATATTATATTATTATATACAACAATAATATTGTTGATAATATAATCTAGGTACCCAGAATGTAGAACACAATGGGAAAAAATTTGATAAAATAAAATATAATATTCATAAAATTCTCCTATAAATTATTGAGTATTATTTGGTGAGAACTCTGATAAACTTCAAGTACTAGAATATATTCTTATTATATACCTAATTTTTGTCTTTATTTGGTATCCTTTTTTCCATCTTTCATCAGTTTAACAAATATTAAGAACTTTAACCATGGATATGTCAAAAAGTGCTTCTTCTGTTGCATTTGTTTTATTCACGTGAAATTCACGTAACAAAAGTAACCATGTTGAAGTGACATTCCGCACATTCACAATGTTGTGCAACCATCACCTGTGTCTATTTCAAAACAAAACCACTTAATGATTATTGCTACCATTCATAAACTGTATTATAGATTGAGTAGCATGTGTGCAATTTCTTTATTAACAATACAAAGGCTGTGATCTTGATCTTAAAGGCAAGGAAATAAAATTTAGATAGCTTAAGTAATTTACTGAAGATCATACACATAATGTTGCTTAGCCAGGATTTCTGTTTCTGCAAGCTATATCCATTCTTTCTTGTTAAACATACCTGCATCCAGCTTGCCTATTATTAGGGAATGAATTTCTAAGGCAGGTAGGCATGTCCGTGTGCTGGCATGCGCCTATGTTGCTGTTATTCTAGTGTGCTATTTCCAAAAAACGCATTATTTGAGAGCTTGGATAATATAGACTCCTAACATATGTTTAAATATTTTCTTGAGATTAAAGGTTTGTTGAAAAAAAAAAAAAAGGTTTGTTGACTGTTGCGATTATATGTAGCAGACATCGCATACAGAGGAACTGTTTTATTTTCTGTGGTATTCTTTATCTTTTCATTGCTTTAGATACGCCTCTTCTGTAAAAGACGGTTCCCAGTATTTTGTGCTCCTGATTGTGACGGATGGTGTTATCTCAGATATGGCTCAAACCAAGGAGTCCATAGTCAATGTGAGTAGGGGTCATTCAGTTTGGGGCTGGCTAAGTGACAGCGTGGTGCTTTTTTAGGTTGAATAAGCAGAGTTTACTTAGGTTGATTTAATAGTGAAACAAAATGCCCATGCCTTTGAAGCTGATTGCATTCTTAACCCTATCCAGACAACTCATATGCATATGTACCATTAATCCTTAACGACTAACCTGAGGGGTGTGGATGATTTGTACAATTTGTACAGAGTTTTTCTTAATATTTACATTTCAGTTACAGAACTGTACTGACAGGTTTTTTTTTTCCGATAGAACTGTTTCCATGGAACTTTTTTTCTATGGAACTGAAAGGGACTGGACTGGACGCACAAATCATTCTTCTTGTCAGAATTCCCAATTATTTATTTTAAGATTATTTAATTGATTTGTCTTCTTTATAAGACTATAATCTATAAAATCTATATTAGACTCTATAGAATTATATCTTATCTTGCTAGTCCAAGTTTAGCAATGTTTGACACTAAGTTGGCATTTAGTGAAAATGGGATGCATGAATGAATTACTTATCGTATCTTATTATTAATAGCATAGGGAAGATATAATTAGCTGTTTGGTGGAGGGGAAAAGTTGCATGTGGAAAAAAAAATCATAGACATATTCTTAGAAAAACTATGCATAAAAAGCAGTAGAGCTAAAGGCTTACACATTTATTTGTTTGTTATTTTTTAACTAAACACATGGGTAGAATTCATCTTGGTTTTCTTTATGTTCTGGTCTGTGGCATTAGTGTGCACTTTAAAATCGGAACTTAATAATTTAGGCTTAAACTAGCAGGACATGATGTAGTGAGGAACAATGATTCATAATTTGATGGCCTTTATAGCTATAGATGTGGCCATGCCAGCCGTCCATCTCTCTGTTGCCAGGTCTCACATTCTGACCTTTAAATTATTTAAAATTATTACATAGTGTGAGTGATATGATGGGAAAACATGCTATTACATCAAATATTCGTTATCCCTCACAATCTTGTGGCTAGTTAATAAAACAAATTAATTATTATAATAATAACTTCTTGTAATTATTATTTGTATTCACTCATTTACTATGAATTTTTGCTTTTCCTACCATTGGGTGTAAATGAGATAGAGTAGGGTACTACTGTTTCACAACTGTAGTGCCTTTTTTGCCCCATTTAGCAACTGAAAGATTTTTGAGAGGAGTAAGTACATGAATAAAGTGACCAAAGATAGCCAAAGTCAGCTTAGGAAGATGTTGGCTGAGAATAGCAAGTGAAGGCAAATGAGCAATACTTTTTTATTTTTTATATTGTCCAAGACTGGTCATTCCTGGAGAACGTCCCACTGAATAAGCATGTCTAGAGAGTTCAAAAAGAATGAGTAGAGTCGAGCATATTCTGTGTTCATTTTAAATATGTTCAAACTTGTTTTAGTGAACATCTTGAAAAATATCAAAGCAGTATATTATTTTCTTCTCAAACCTCATTTCTTAACTCAATTTCTTAATTGTGAACTAATTGTGTATTCTCTTTGAAGGCTTCAAAACTTCCAATGTCAATAATTATAGTAGGTGTTGGACCAGCAGAATTTGATGGTGAGTAATAGATTTTCAGTAATATTCCTTGGGGGTTTATTTACTCTGATTCATTATGCTCTAAGATTCCTATCACTCTTTCTTGTATATAAGTGTGAATATGAACGTGGATATGTATATAATGTCCATGTACATATAGACATAAATGTAGGTATCTCACGATGAAGTCTATTAAGTTGAGCAAATGAAAATACTGTCTTCTGACAAGGACATTATCTATCTGGTGTAGATTAATTCAACATGTAGCTTTCTGTTCCATTTGTGATAGTTTGCATCTCAAAATAATATGTTTTATGGCTGACAGGGTGATAGATTGAGTTGTTCACAAGGCAGAGTACACTCTGGGTTCACTAAAAACCTTTGAGGATGAACCCTAAATTTATAAACCATTAGGTTGTGAAGAGAGATGTTAACACACAAGCATAATATGCTACTTTAATGGTTTTTCAGACACTGGCTAGTTGATAGACATTAGCTTTATAAATATATAAGTTCTGTCATATGAAAGAGCAAAGTAAAATGAAAATGGAACTGACCATCTGAGATTTAATGACACTTTATAAAATTATGCTACATTGAGTGACTAGGTAGTTCTGAGTTTGGGCTTAGGCCTCGTTCAGATGCCAATCAAGTGACAGGTGTTTGTGTAGCTAGTGATCTGGGTAAACTTCTTTAAGGATAATCTGTTCCCAGTCACCTGGTGAATTCCTTTCAGAGAGAACTCTGTGGTGACTTCATGATCACCTAGCATTCACCTGCTTCAGGTGTTTTGACTTTAACAATGACAGTTCTTTTAGCTTGGGGCTTTGGAAATGAGAATAACTTTAGAATATTTGGAACAACCTTGGTACATTAGAGGTTAATTTAGGCACATACATGGTTAATTATACTACAGTCATCACTGGGATCATTGTCATTGAACCACCAGCTCCTCCTCCATAAGGATAGTGTAGATCTGCCAATCTCAGCACCACAGGCACAGTTGTTACATAGTTGTTACATTGTTATGTTGCTGACCCTGGAAATCCTCTCCTTCGCTTCCATGCTTGGTCGGTCATGCTTTGCACCTTTAGAATCTTCCAATGTCTAAAGCAAAAGTCATTTAGCTCTGACTGCTGCTGCTTCTGCTAATATTTTCTCAGCCTCTGAATATTCAAATTGTTCACATTGTACTTCAGGCATGGATTTGAGACAACTTCTCTGGAGTCAGGAAAGCTAAGAGACATCTTTCTTGTTAATGCTTTGTGTACTCGATCATCTGCATTGATCAGTGACAGACCGTGATTCTCGAACTTCACTGATGGCTAGGGTAAACTGACTCATGCCTTCTTCTTAGGTTACTGATTTGCTTTTGCCTCAAGGATGTACCTCTCACTGGGTATTTCCCAGTCTCCACAAATCCTGGAAGTCTGTGGTTAGATATATGACCTAACCTCAGTCACTTGTTCCTCAAGAGCCTGCACACATCATGTACGAATACAGAGCCACTGACCCTTCCTGGCGTCTATTTCTGCTCGTATATTTCTGTTCAGAGCAGCAGGTACTACCCTCATCCAACTGCCACAGCTGTTTATTGTCTTCATTTCTTTGGTTCCCAATGAATTATTTACTAGGGTTTTAAGGTATGATAATTCATCATTTTTCCTCTCTGCCTTCCCAAACTGGAAAAAAAAAATATGTAAGAATCAGTCAAAGATCACAGTATAAGCTTGTTATTACTAACAATGCAGTGTTTGAGAGTTTGGGTTAACCTCTGCACAGAATCAGATTTGTCACTATTTCTTCGCCAAAGTTGAATGACCTCAGCTTTATCACCAGGCCTCTTCTCTACAAGGGCAGAGCTTGGGCTATTAATCATGGCACAGGGAGAAATTCACATTCATTTTTTTTCCCTATAGGTAGATAATTTATTTTTATTTATTTATTTATTATTGTTATGTGAGACACCATACAGTACATCATTTGTTTTTGATGTAGCATTCCATGGTTCATTGTTTGCATATAACACCCAGTGCTCCATGCAACACATGTCCTCCTTAATACCAATCACCAGGCTTACCCATCCTCTTACCTCCTACCCTCTAAAACCCTTAGTTTGTTTCCCAGAGTCCATAGTCTCTGATGATTCATGTCCTACTACGGTTTCCACCCCCCTTCATTTTTCCCTTCTCCTAATGTCCTCCATGCTATTCCTTATGTTCCACAAATAAGTGAAACCATATGATAATTGACTCTGTCTGCTCGACTTATTTCACTAGCATAATCTCCTCCAGTCCTATCCATGGTGATGCAAAAGTTAGGGTCATGCTCTCTGATGGCTGAGTAATATTCCATTCAAACTGAGGATCAGCTGCTCCTAATGAGAGGGATTTCAAAGTCAGTCCCTTCTCATTTTAGTATTCCCATGAATCATTCGTTTTTCCACATGGAAAAGAGAGTGAAGATTGTAGACAAAGAGGGAAGTTTGCCTTCCCAGTAGAATCCCTTCCTGAGAATTAGAGTGACACTTCCCTCTGGCAAACATGGGGACAGGGAATTAGGGTCCTGCGGCACCTGCCTTCAGTTTTCACCATGACTAAAGTTTTAATAGGATGGAAACTCTTCCACAACAGTATTAGAAAAGTAGACTGTTCCACTAGGAAACATAGATGCTTCTCTGTTTTTCGTTCTCTCCTCTCAAAATACCTCTCTTCTCTCCATTGCTAATAAGAAAAGGACAGAATACTCATGTTTCACATAGAAGATCTGTTACTTAAATTCAGATTGTGCTGTTCTGTCAAGAAGAGCCTTTCTCTTGACTCTTCCAAATATACCATAGAGGAAGTTTATATATCACACACAGAAACCGACATAAGGAAAGACTGAGATAAAACTTGCACATTTTAGCAGTTAACCACCTAAATCCAACATCTGCACACTTTTAATAAGAAAGACATTGTGTGCATGGGCAAGAAAGGCAGACTCGTCATCCATTCTTTGAAGGTAGAGGAATTTGGAATAAACTGTGAGATTAGTGAGTATTCAAATGTCTTCTTACTGTATTTTAATAAGAACAACTTAAAACTTTCTGTGTAGTTTTTCCCCAGTGATTTTTCACTCCTCCGTAAAGCACTTTCATTGAGAAGAAAGGTTTCTCAAGGCAGGATTTCTTTATCCATAAAAGGCAAAAAGTCAAAGCAGCATCAGGTTACCTGCATTGATTGAGTTAGTAGAAGGTGAGAAAGAGAAGAGGTTCTAATTTCATGGTGTCTCCCACAGCTAGAAAGAAGTGCAATTCTCTCTCTTATAAATTTTTTTTTTTTTTTTTTTCCAAGGAGAGGAACTTGTGGGGTACTGGGGCTTACAGTCTCAGGCTCCTTGTGGCACAGATGAAAACCTGAAGGGTGAACAGGACCCTTCCACCATTTACACATCGTGTCTTTTTTCCATGGTTTCAAAAGTTTAGCCTCCGATTCTTGCTCCCTGCAACTTTTTAACCCAAAGGACATGCTGAAAAGTGGGCCATATTTTATAGGGTCACATTCAGATACATTATTGCCTGGATAACTGTCATTTTTCTTAATTGGAATGAAACATTCACTAAGACTGATGGAGATCATAGGGGATTGTGGAAGGTGAGACCCAGATTATCAACAAATTCTTGTTTTCTGTTAGAGAGTAAAGGAGAACTTCCTGCAAGAAAGGAGAACTTGCTGGCTTTTCACTATTGCTGTACATTTATGTCTAAATCATATGAAAATTTTGAAAGCAATACAAAACCAAAGGAAGGAATGAACTATTGAAGGTATATGAGCATAATGACATTCCTTATTTACATTCCTAATAAGTACGGAAGAACAGATCTTTTGTAATTTTCTTCTTCTCCTTCCCTTCCTCCTCCTTCTCCTTCTTGTTCCTCCTCTTCCTCTTCATCCTCTTCTTAATTCCAGTTAGTTCAGATAAGATGTACTGTTAGTTTCAGGTGTACCATATAGTGATTCAACACTTGCCTGTTACACCTGATGCTCATCTGGACAGGTGCACTCCTTAATCCCCATCACCTATTTCACCCATCCCCCCCCAAACCAACTCCCTTCTGGTAACCATCAGGTTGTTCTCTTTCATTAAAAGTCTGTTTCTTGCTTTGTCTCTTTCTCTTTTTTCCCCTTTGCTCATTTGTTTTGTGGATCTTTTGTATTTTAAATAAGTTAATTTCCTTGTTATTGATAATATACACATTTATTAGATTATGACTTGTATATCTAAGCAAATTATTGACTAGTGGCTTTACCATTTATGAGCACTTATTTCAACCCAGACATTGGCTCATGAATATGTGTAGAAAAGTAAAATTTAAAACAATGTTTTTAACCCAGATGCATTATCTAAGCACTGAAGAAAATAATGAAAATGTGAGGATTGTGTTCTGACTGAGCAGTAGTTTTTGGAGGGCAAAGAGGCAAACATTATAATTGCAAGTGGCCCTCTGGAGTCTGGTGAATGTCATGTGCATACAAAATGAATTATCAGTAATAGAATTATTCTTTAAACACAAATTAGCATTCCTCATGTAATTAATTATTTAGAGAATTCTCACTGAAAACTTAATAAACTCTGGAAAATGTTCTTAATTGCAACATAATATTACTTTATTACCAGCTGTCCATTTGTATCACAGTTCAAAAAGTCATACTTTATCCAATCAATGTAGGGCAAAGCAAATTCCTCTCTGTTTTAAAATCCATTAATAATGTAGAAGTTGGGCGATATGAATACATAGCTTTGTTGTAGTTTCAATGAGAATAAAGTTCAAATTGTTACTGGAGATTCTGTGATTAGTGCCAAGTTTCTTAAATGAGAAAGACAAAAAGAGTTTAATGGATTAGCATCACTTGCCCAATCAGTCACATAAGCACGTAACCCAGAACTGAGAACCTCTAGGATGGGGAGCTATACCCACACTGGCTCATGTCTTTCAAAGGATCACATGGGAGCTTGGCTAGCTTTCTTCAGTTATAAAATTTACACTCAGTTAAGTTTTGTGGCAGAATGGGGAATCAACAAGCTTTCTGCCTTGACACAGGACACGTTGCTACTTCAGACATCTTGATTTCCTATTGCCTACAGTGTTTAAGTACATGGTTGAAATGCACTGGATAAATGGTCTTACTTTATTTTCAAGCGATGGTTGAATTGGATGGAGATGATGTAAGAGTTTCCTCCAGGGGAAAATATGCTGAAAGAGACATTGTACAGGTAAGAAATTTAATGGAAACTATTTGTTTAGTTCACTGTGAGGAACCTGTCAGCTCTGATTTGAAAATAAACAAATTACATTGAAAGCAAGACTCTCGGGTTCTCCTTAATTTAGTCAGTTGACTGTCTATGAGATGCATGGCAAGTAGGGCCTAGAATAAGTACCCAGTGACTCTCTTGTATTTCAGGTTCACTATATATAAAATAGAAATGTTAATAAATGTCTTTTCCCACTTTAATATTATCAGAAAATATCACTGAGGTCTTTGGTAAAATTAGAAGCTAGAAACATAGCAGACTTTTTAATGATGCTTACCTATTCATTGTTTAGCCCTCAACAAAGACTAAATATATTTTTAAGACACCTGATTACAACAATGAATTCTGGAACACTGAAAAGAAATTAAAAAAATAAATAAAAATTGAAAAAAAAAAGACAACTGGGGCGCCTGGGTGGCTCAGTGGGTTAGAGCTCTGCCTTCAGCTCAGGTTATGATCCCAGGGTCCTGAGATCGAGCCCCGCATCGGGCTCTCTGCTCAGTGGGGAGCCTGCTTCCCCCTCTCTCTCTGCCTGTCTCTCTGCCTACTTGTGATCTCTGTCTGTCAAATAAATAAATAAAATATTTAAAAAAAAAGACAACTGATTACATTTCAATGTAATTAAATTCAGTGGTAACAAACCAAAACTAGATATTTATATATTTCTCCCTAGATTATGGTTACAAAGGTGGAGAAATAGATCTTAAAATGATATGTATATACAGAAATTTATATAAAAATATAAGTTACATATAACTTTAAATGTAATTATATAAAGATGATATATAATACTTATAATATTTTATATGTAATAACATAAAATAATAACAATTTATGTAGTATATGATTTATACTTGTTAAAATTGAGAAAAATACGTAACTAAAACCTACTATTCTTGGAGTGAATAGAAGAGAAAAAATCAGCAGCCAGTCAATATAGTTCAAATTTATCACTGAACGCAAGCAGTTAATTAAACTAATTGGCTACATATTAGAGTTTCCATATCTTTTAGGTTTTTACAAGGGTAAAGCAGCTGTGAAGTGCACCTTTTTAAATAGGGAAGCAAAGGTCCTTAGCACATGCTATGAAAGTTTTAAAGGAGCAAACAATGGACTTCAGTATTATCTTCTTAATAACAACCCATACATTCACCCAAAGTCATTAAGAGAATCCCACAGAATTCGGAATGCTACAGAATTTAGTTCAAATCCCGAATGATTCACCATGATAAAACTTGAATGAGCTTTCTAAATTTCAGTGCTCTGGCTTTGTTGTAAAGATTAAGTAAGATCATGTAGATAAAATACATTTCTGAAATAGAACTCAGTAAAAGACAACAAAAAATGATTAAAATACTTTGAAGGAGAAATATAAAATAATCTGTAAATATGTTACTATAATGAGATTTAAAAAAGCATTGTTCTTTTTGGCAGCAACATTAAATTTTAAAATAGAAACATCTGTATAACAGTTTTTTAAAAGAAAAAAATTAAAAGTATTAAGTATGATTTAAACTTTTTAACCTAACGTTCTTGGTACAATTAAAAGCACACACACATGAATGATTAGGTTAAAAGCAGCTGAGAAAAGGAACATGATGATGTGGTCATTTATTTAAGTATCCCATGGTGTTTTGTTTTCATAATTAGACACATGATTATTCACCTTAACCTTATTAGCATAATTATGGGTCTAAGTAATTACACTTTATCTAAAAGCTCTTCATAATGTCTGACTCACAGTTTCCAAAAAATCGAATTACGGAAGGGAAGCATGAATTTGAAGTTCTTTGGAATGTGTTGTATTGCTCTTGTAATGCATTTTTACAGAAGCAGTAGAGGCAACCTCATATCTCATAGCTTCATCGTAATGCTTACAGGAAACTTGTTACTGTTTTCTTCTGTAGGGATAATTAAAGTTGCCCATATTGTTACGGTTTCCTTTAAGAGGAATGATCCGTTATGTTAGTGACAAGCAACAGTCATGTCTATTAGCATTTATAAAATAAAAATGTCCTTGATTGTGAAAGTATTTAGTCTCTCAGCAGATAACTACATTGGGCAGAATATTGAGATTGGACCCAGATCTGTGAAATTATAATATTGTCACTCTGCTCTTGAACTAGTCAGTAAATCTCTTTGAGCCTTCATTTCATTATTTCTGGACTTCAAATTCTTTCATCTCTGCTCTTTTCATGATGTTGTGAGTCTCAGAGGAGTACCACATGAAAATACTTTATCACGTATCAGTATAAGGTATATATTCATATAACATGTTCCTTCTCCTTAAAAGTCAGAGTCCTTGAGACCAGTCTCCCACCTTACAGTAACACTGGGATCCCCAAAAATCCTGAAGACACCTGCGGATATAGTTAAATACTCAAGGGATTCTACCACATAAAGTTGAACTGAAAGAGTTGTTGGATATTATAGATACTGAATAGGAAATTAAAATGTTTTTTGTTTTTAAAGATTTTATTTATTTGACAGAGATCACAAGTAGGCAGAGAGGCAGGCAGAGAGAGGGGTGGGGGAGAAGCAGGCTCCCTGCCAAGGAGAGAGCCCCCCAGGGCTCAATCCCAGGACCCTGGGATCATGACCCAAGCCAAAGGCAGAGGCTCCAACCCACTGAGCCATCCCCAGAGAATTAGTAGCCTCTGGAATAACTGTGACATTTTGACTTACATGCCTACATTCACTTTAAGGGGATTTGATAGACCCTTTTCCAGTTTCATGGAGAAGTTCCTAAATGGTGATTGGTCTTTTAACAATAGGAAGCAAGATAACCGTTTACATAGTACATTGTGTTGAAGGAGAATTAGCATTCTCCCTCATTTCAAGTAAGTTTTTAAAAACATTCCACCATCACCAGTGGGCGCAGGCTGGCTTCAGTTGTTTAAGCATCTAACTCTTGATTTCAGCTCAGGTCATGATCTCAGGGGTCGTGAGACCAAGCCCCAAGTTGGACTCTGCACTAGGTGTGGAGCCTGCTTAGGATTCTCTCTTTCCCTCTGCCCCTCCCCACTCTAAAAGAAATAAAAATAAAAATATTCCACCATCACAGTTTTCCAGGTTCCACCATCCAGTAGAATGTTTTTTAAATGAGCTATTTTCAAGAATAGAAATACTCTTGAATATTTAGAATAGTGGGGTCACAGGAGTCCACCAAGGATAACACCGTCAATCTCCATCATCAGAAAATATCTAAGCCATCACAAGTGCTGCTGTAAATACTGCTGGTTAAAATATTATCAGAAAATAGGGTCCATTTAGGCTTTCTTACCTTTTCATTACTTCCAATTTCTTGTATGTTGAAGCAAAGCAGGTTAATGCACTGCAAATGGAGCCCAAATTTTTTAAGTGGGCAAACAAAAGCTTAAGGCTGCAAATAATAACAAAAGCCAAAGGTAGCTGAGATTTAGCAGAAAGTTGAGGGTAGCAGATGGAGTTCTCATTACTGTGTCAAATCTTAAGTGGCTTCCAACTTCTTCATATAATACTGAGTCATTTATTAACTCCTTTTGTATGCTGGGCAAGCTAAGAGCTATAGTATTGCTTCACTTAATCTTTAATTGACTTTATGCAGGTATTTTGATTAGTACATTTTACCAAAAAAAAGAAAAAGAAATTACGTTTAATTCTTCTTGTCCATAGTCATGTAGCTGGTAAGAAATAGAGTGAAGATTTAACCTTAAAATGTCTGATTCTAAAATTCTTAACAAAAGTCATGTATAACACTGATTTAAAACCTAAACATAGCATTTAAGCGTTTCTGTGACTTGACCCCAATCTTCCTCTTTAGCTGAACACACACATACACACTACTTTGTTTAGACAAATAGAACTACCAGCTGTATTTGCATCACACATTTCCATTGTTCTTGTTTTTATTTCCTCTTATTTCACCTGGAATACTCTTCTTTATCTGTGCTGATTAATATCTTACATTTTGAAAGTTCCATTATATAGCCTTGCACAAAGCCCTCTCGGCACACCTGAACTAACTTCCCCTCTTCGTCAATTTATTCACATACCACTTTATATCTTCCTAAAAATACTGGCCACTTTTTGCCTTGTAGTAATTTATGAATAAAGAAACTGAGGCCCAGGTAGCAACGTGTACAAAATTATTTAAGTCATAAATTGATAGATCCAAATTTCCAACAGAGTTCTGATTCCAAAACCTGTGTTCTTTCTGTTATAACACACCTACTCTCATAAAAACCAATATTCTAGTGAAGATTATTAGGGTCTAATTCCCCTTTCATATTACTGAAGTGGTTCATGTCTCAGGGTTAGATCAATTTAGGTTCAAATAATGATTGATACTGGTAAGTATCTCATCTAAGTTAATTAAACTTTCCAAGTTTCAGTTTCCTCTTTTGTAAATTCAAAATATGGGTAACATGCTTATAAAAATGTAATGAGATACTGTATAAATCTTTTAGCAGATGGCCTGTTACCTACCAGTTGCTCAACAAATGCATTAGTTAGTGCCAATGGTAGTTATTATGTTTAGATGGTCTGTGGCATAGTCCAGTGCAAATTAATTTTTTGTCAGTATTTCATAGTAGCTATACCTTGACAAGGGACACTGTAGTCAGCCTTATGTGTAATTATATTCATTGTCTTAAGATTGAATTTCGTGACTCTAGTACAAACAGTAAGCAAGATGAGATCCTATTGTTGTTATTCTAAAACTTCAAAGAGTTATTTTCTTAAGTCAATATATGTAAAGGCTTCCTATTTGTTTGTGCTATGAATTGGCCATTGTGTATAACGCAGAGTCATTTCTTCGGGCTGCACACAGCTGTTGGTTGGCCTATCATTTCCTTAAAAATTATGTTTAAATCATATTTTCCATTAAAAGGAGAATAATAACCTTGAAGGCGTAGACTTGAAAATCACTAATGGAGCTCTGCACAGTAGGAACAATCAAGTAAAATTGAGCAGAACAGCAACTAAAAGTCCATTTGCCCAAACTGATTCAAAACTTGTTTTCACAAATAGTCAAAGCCAGCCGTTAGAACAGCCATGTGGAACATTTTCCTTGTACTGGATGGATGCTGAAAAAAAAATGTAGAGTATCAAGGATATAGTATATTTCTACAGAATGGAATGCATTTATTAGTTTTTTGGGGGGGATGGATGTGATAAATTCGTGCAAAGTTAAAACTGATTTATCCCTCTAAACTCAACACTTTAAGGGTCTGAGTTCATTTGTGGGGGTAGTCAATGAACAACACTCATCCACAGATGTGCAAGCATTATTTTGAACAGGAGGTCCCCAGGTACAGTGATCAGAAATGAATGATTTAAAAAAAAGAAAAAGACAAAAACCAGAGTAGCCTGAGAAGTTGAGTGGGAAATTGATTGTAGGAGGATATGAGCAGTAGTGTTACAGAGGGCATATTAGGTCCTGACAACTGTAAGATTTGACATGAAGAAGTAAAGGAAATGAAGAGTCACTTGTCATTTTCATCTCTCACTTAGGACAGTACCTTGTGACTGATTGAAGAGCTGAGTGGCCTTTTGGGAAAGGTTTAGGTAATTCAGTTAGTGAGTAGAAAGTTCTCAACATTTTTCATCTACTCCCAGCACACAGGTAGGATAAGGTATACTTCTGTTGATAACAAGAACTCTCTATGTTAATGAGAGTTAAGGCAAGGCAAGTTATGGGCAAGGTCCCCCAGTATTCAAAGGGCAGGCAGAATCTGTCACCCCACTGAACAAGCCTATGTTAAATGTGATATATACTTTCCTCTTCAGTTGAAAACTAAGATTGCTTTCTTACCCGTTATTTATGAAAATGTTTTAAATATGAGTAGATCTGCATGTATTATGAGAAGGGTGGTTGTGAATCTAAGTTTTGACATCCCAGAGCATCACAGCATTCTTAAAGATGAATTTTAATTTGCTTCAGTTAAAAAAAAAATAGCACATCTCCTAGCATTTGCTGGAAAGATGAAGCAATGGGTGTTATAAAATAATAAAAAAGCCAGGAATTACTTAGCAGACAATACTGATACTGTACTTAAATTTGATTGAGTTAAATGAAGAAGGATATTCCTTGTATTTAATGTTTGATGTGAATGTAACTAGAAAACTATTAAGAATATAGTTTCACAAGATGGGATCGGGAGGGAGACAAACCATAAGAGACTCTTAATCTCACAAAACAGAGGGTTGCGGGGGGTTGGGGGCAGGTAGGGAGAGGGAGGTGGGGTTATGGACATTGGGGAAGGTATGTGCTATGGTTAGTGCTGTGAAGTGTGTAAACCTGGCGATTCACAGACCTGTACCCCTGGGGCTAATAATACATTATATGTTAATAAAAAAATAAAAAATAAGAAAAGTAATAAAATTTTTTTAAAAAAGAATATAGTTTCATAAACAAGTGTTGGAGAGGATGTGGAGAAAGGGGAACCCTCTTACACTGTTGGTGGGAATGCAAGTTGGTGCAGCCACTTTGGAAAACAGTGTGGAGATTCCTTAAGAAATTAAAAATAGAGCTACCCTAAGACCCTGCAATTGCACTACTGGGTATTTACCCCAAAGATACAGATGTAGTGAAAAGAAGGGCCGTCTGTACCCAAACATTCATAGCAGCAATGGCCACAGTCACTAAACTGTGGAAAGAACCAAGATGCCCTTCAACGGATGAATGGATAAAGAAGATGTGGTGCATATATACAATGGAGTATTATGCCTCCATCAGAAAGGATGAATACCCAACTTTTGTATCAACATGGATGGGACTGGAAGAGATTATGCTGAGTAAAATAAGTCAAGCAGAGAGAGTTAATTATCATATGGTTTCACTTACTTGTGAAGCATAAGGAAAAACAGAGAGGACATGGGGAAGTGGAGAAGGGAAGTGAGTTGGGGGAAGTCAGAGGGGGAGATGAACCATGAGAGACTGTGGACTCTGAGAAACAAACTGAGGGTTTTGGAGAGGAGTGGGGTGCGGGATTGGGAGAGGCCTGATGGTGGCTATTAAGGAGGGCACGTATTGCATGGAGCACTGGGTGTGGTGCATAAACAATGAATTTTGGAACATGCACAAAAAAATTAACTAAAAAAAATTTTTTTAAATAAAAAAAGAATATAATGTCATGGTTATATTGAAATACATACCTGTATAAGTTGAATAGTAATAGTAGTGATGTTCACAACAATTACCATATATAATACATATTATGAGTTGAATACTGTTTTAAGTACTTTACATATTAACTTAATATAGCAACCTAATAAAGCAGGTATTATTATTATTATTATTATTGTTATTCTCCTCATTTATAGAAGAGAAAACAGAATGAGTGGGAAATCATTTTCTAAGATCATGCAGCTAATAAGTCGGAGATTCAGCCTTTGAACCTAGGCAGTCTAATTCCAGAGTTTGGGAGAATAGTGGGTAAAAAGATAAATGAGGTTAATGTCCATGGTGTGGAAGAAAAGGTAAAGAGGGAAAGAAAAATATAAGAGCAAAGTTGGGGTAAACACAGAATGGGTGGTGAGATCAACTGCTTGCCAGAGGTGCCATCCTTTCCCTCCATGGATGTGTTAGCTACAGAGTTCTGAAAAACTGAACTCTTTAAAAAAAAAAAAAAAGTTTAAGGATAAATGCTGTATACTAAGTATTCTAAATGTTTGCTTTTAAAATACTATGCCTTTTATAAGAATGAAATAAGCTATAACAGTCAGATGTCTTTTTCTCATTAATCTTCAGTCTTGTTGATTCCTGTTTTCTCACTTTTCTAATTATAGTTTCAGTGAAAAAAAATAAACCCTAACTTTTTTGCACCTCTTTGATTTTTTGTTAAGAATGTCAAGTCTTGTCCAAAGTTAGATAATTTGACTTCACACAAGTTCACGTCCCCTTAGCTCTCTTCTCAGTTAAAGATTATATTTGCTCTATTAGTTTTTCTTACCCTTGCTTAGCTACCTTCAGGTGTAAGAGAAAGCTTTGTCACCTTTCTACTACACTTTTTTCTAAAAGCTCCGTTGAGTTTTCCTCCTGGTTAGCAGGACAGGGTAAAATTATAGTCATATTGGTTGCCTCTGCCTACAGTATCTTATTTCTTTTTTTAAAGATTTTATTTATTTATTTGACAGACAGAGATCACAAGTAGGCAGAGAGGCAGGCAGAGAGAGAGGAGGAAACAGGCTCCCTGCTGAGCAGAGAACCCGATGTGGGGCTCGATCCCAAGACCCTGAGATCATGACCTGAGCCGAAGGCAGAGGCTTAACCCTCTGAGCCACCCAGGCGCCCCTATAGTATCTTATTTTAAAAAGAAGAGTAATTTTCTCCTCTTCCTTAAAAGAGACTATGTTCACTATATGAGAAGTATTACACTTGCTATTTGGTTTCTTAAAACTTTAAATTGGTTTATCTGTAGCAATCTGACCATCTTAAAGCCTACTTCCTCATTATAGTTTTTTCCTGAAAGCACATCTTGTGTAGCTACTTAACTCAAAAGTAACTTTTTCGGGGCACCTGGGTGGCTCAGTGGGTTAAGCCGCTGCCTTCGGCTCAGGTCATGATCTCAGAGTCCTGGGATCGAGCCCCGCATCGGGCTCTCTGCTCTCTAGGGGAGCCTGCTTCCTCCCCTCTCTCTGCCTGCCTCTCTGCCTGCTTGTGATCTCTCTGTCAAATAAATAAATAAAATCTTTAAAAAAAAAAAAAAGTAACTTTTTCAACATAAATTTAACACAGTTATGGTATAGTAGGAGATGGGAAGGTGCTGTCTCTCTAGAGGAGGAAAAATGATTTAATTCAAACTCCTAATTTTTTTTTATTTTTTTTAAAGATTTTTATTTATTTATTTGACAGAGAGAGATCACAAGTAGACGGAGAGGCAGGCAGAGAGAGAGAGAGAGAGGGAAGCAGGCTCCCTGCTGAGCAGAGAGCCCGATGCAGGACTCGATCCCAGGACCCTGAGATCATGACCTGAGCCGAAGGCAGCGGCTTAACCCACTGAGCCACCCAGGCGCCCCTCAAACTCCTAATTTTACACTTAGAAATTGTTCAACATTCTCAAAGGTTTTCACTGTGCCTTTTCTCTAAGACCTAAATTACTGGGTTCACAACATTAATGGTTCCAAGCATTTCCAGGTTGCTTCAAGAATCATCGTATCTCTGAAGGGAAATTGAACTAGTGCCCTCAAATAGCACATGTTTATTAACTTAAGTAACCACTGTAAGTGAAGATAGAATCAGGCAATTTATTGCCAGAGTATTTAATGTTCAGCTGATAATGGCTCTCACGTAATTGCTTATGTAAAGATAGAGCAGTTATTTTTATATGACATAAAAACAAGAATGATGATATTTCAATATGAAGTATTATCAATTCTTAGTCTGAATAATTTTTTTTTCCATTCCAAACAACAGATTAAAAAAAAAAATTGGGGATATGAGATTTGATGTTTTCGTAATAATTAAAAACACTTCACATGTGTTTAGGCTTCTTCAACAATATGCACTTTCCTTTTTCCCCTGCGCTGGATACTCTTTCTGCACTGAAAGCTGATTTATGCAGGTATTAACTCCACTGTCAGGAAACCGAGCCCTGAAGAGGTAAACGCTCTATCCTCTTGGGAGTCAGGTGAGGTATAGAACCCAAAACCACAGAATACCTGTAGCAACATGATGGACCTTTCAGAACCAGGAGACAAGTTATTGGGAGAGAGAAAAAAAAAAAAGAGAACAATTGCATCCCTTTTTAGATAAAGCATATACAATAGAAAGTTTCGGCCACTATAGTAGCTCGCTGTTGGTAATGAATCAGATCTCTTGAAGATGCATAGTAATGCCTATCCATCTAACCAGTCCTCCAGGCTGCTCTGATTCTCCACCAAATGTTGACATGCGTTGGTTTTTGTGTCTGTTAAACCGCATACTAAAGTCTCTAGAATAACTCTCTCACCTCTGTTTCAGTTCGTGCCGTTCCGGGATTATATTGACAGAAGCGGAAACCACATACTGAGCATGGCCAGATTGGCTAAAGACGTCCTAGCTGAGATCCCGGAGCAGTTCCTCTCCTACATGCGGGCCCGCGGAATCAAGCCATCCCCCGCGCCGCCCCCCTACACCCCGCCTACACACGTGTTACAGACTCAGATATGACCGTGCTCGGAACCGTCCCCGTTAACTACCCGTCACGAAGAACTGCTGAGTCAACGCTTTGCTCCTGGTGCTCTGTCGCGAACCAGGGAATGAGATACTCTTCTCAGTTTGATTTCAGCAGTCCTGGTTAATATGCTTTCTTGGATCCAAAATTAATTCTCTTTCTAAACCAAAACTGTAAATATGGTTGTTGCATGAGCAACAGAAAAATTGTTTAAATGCTTGAAGCAAAATATGGATGTCTTCTCTGAATCTCTTTTTCTTTCTTTCTTTCTTTCTTTCTTTCTTTCTTTCTTTCTTTGGACAGAAACAGCTAATTTCCAATGTATTGTTGGAAAAAAGCACAAACTGTTTTTAACTCAAATATTGTCCTCGACTGCTGTGTGTATAGGAAAGCAGTCTCTCTGTATCAATGTTTACATGTTACTACTTTTTAAATTTCAATACTTTTATAACTGTTCTTAAGAATAAGAGTTTTGAATATTGAATCCTCTGTCTTCTAAATTGCAATAGCTATAATCGCAAGAGCAATATCTCTTTGAATGACTGTCTGGACAATACAATTGCAAATAAGAGAAAGGAGAGATGCTTTCATATTTCTCAGTAAGTGAATTGTCTTACGAGGCCGCATCTGCTTAGTAATGAGTTCCTCTGCTGTTTGCCTGGTATGGGGGTTTAAGCTTAGCAGATGTGTATTCTGTAGGAACATGCATTTTTCATGGAGCTTGGGTTCTAAATTTAGACTGCAGTCAGTTTATGTTCTGTAATTCTCAGTAGAAATAATAAAAATAATAAAAAGTCAAACATTGTGAACTGTAAAATGCACAGAAAATACTTTGTGTACGAAGTAGCATCTTTATATTATAATGCTATTTAGAGAGACTAAAACCCAGAATATTTAACTGTGAACCATGTAGCAGAAGTTTTAAACTTTTTACTCCATTATACCTTGTCTAGATATTTTAATTCAAAGGGATACTGGCTCTCCTGATTTGGACTTCTTGTTATCACCTTTTCATGTTGCCGTGCGAGGTGCACAGGCTGGAAGATTTTTGTGAAATTCCCAGTTATATATACAAACCACGTGACTTAGTGCACAACACATTTGTGAGATAACCTAATCCTACATACTGAACTGCCTGTCCACAATGACTTGTAAAGAGTTTTTGCATGTACAGTTTTTACAAAAATTACAGTTTTGTGACATTGTGTCTAAATTAAAGCATTTCTTTAGAACAAATGGCCTTAAATTCTCACAGAATTCCTGGAAATGATTGTGAATTGCCTTCAAATAATAGAAAAGTGTATTTTCTTTTCCTTTGTGTCAACAATGTAACTGCTTCATAATATTTTTCCTTACTTACATCCTATTTACTACTTGGTTTATTTCTACTGTATGTTGTTCTCTTTGTCCAAGTTGACTTAGGGTGACTTTTATAAGCATGAAACTATTTTATTGACAAGAAAAATATATACACCCACATATCTAACAGTATCAATGTTATACAATTATGTAATAACAAATTGTCCATTTTTAAGTATGTATTAAAATCTTTAAAAGGATAACTACTTGCTCTGTAAGTTTTATGTGTGAGTGAAATGGAGTGTGATGATTTCTCTTACTGATCTTAAATATTTCCACCAGTATAGTTAATAACCAACTGATTTTTTTAAATTTACCTTAATATTCAGTCCAAAGAAATAAAAATGAATGAGGTCAGTATTTTCTTTCCTGTCAACTATTATTTATTTTACTTTGAACTAATTAGAGAAAATGAAGGATGTATACTTTCTTATCTATGTAATAATGTGCCCACACTTAGTGGGGGCAGATGGCTAAGAAATCATCTTTAGTTATAAACCATGCCCTTTGTATGGCAGGGTGGTCGCCAGAAATGCATGTGATATCAGTTCCTTTTTTTTTCTCCCTAAGATTTCCTCCCTCTCTCCCTCCATTCCTTCCTTCCTTCCTTCCTTTCTTCCTTCCTTCCTTTCAAGAGCATGCAAGCAGGGAGAGGGACAAAAGAAAAGGGAGAGAAAGAGTCTCAAGCAACTGCGCACTGAACACAGAACCCAATGCAGGGCTCAATCCAACAACCTTGAGATGACCTGAGCCCAAATCGAGAGTCAGATGCTTAACTGACTGAGCCTCCCAGGTGCTCCAATGTTAGTTCTATATTTTATTTTAGAAAATACCCAGTCATGTCTTATTTCTGCATAAAGGAAGAAACCAAGTCTGAAGGGATTGAGTGATTTATCCAAGTCTGTGTAACTAGAGCAGAGCTGGTTATACTACTGCCAAAATAACCACTTGAATTTTTTGAACTGCCATTAAGGGCTTTGTAATGAAAAATCCCAGAAATATTACCCATAAATGCAAATGCATACCAATAGTTGCACGTACACACTGGGTATGAGGGATATGCAAACATTAGGTAATGAGAGACAAGAAAGGTATATATTGGGGCACCTGGGTGGCTCAGTGGGTTAAGCCACTGCCTTCAACTCAGGTCATGATCTCAGGGTCCTGGGATCAAGCCCTGCATCGGGCTCTTTGCTCAGCAGGAGCCTGCTCCCCCCCCACCACCACTGCCTCTCTGCCTACTTGTGATCTCTCTCTGTCAAAATAAATAAATAAAATCTTAAAAAAAAAAAAAAAGGTATATATTAAGAGAAGAGTGATAGCTCTAAGTCATCAACCTTGCTACAGAAAGCAGACTATTACCAAAGGCTCTGGATATTGTGTTCTCTAATCCCATTCCTTTCCTTTCTGATGAGAATCATTTTAATTCCAGGATGAACCCTCGGGCTTCTATTCAAGCATCTCCAACACTGGTCTCACCCAGTTATATCAACTCCATTGCTTCCCGAATGAATATTAAAATCATCCAGACTTGTCTCATTACTTTTCCCAACCAATCTAGGTTCATCTGGAGTCTCAGGCACAGTTCCTACTCTTTCCTTCCATCAGGCTCTCTCCTGAGGCCTCCACCTAAAATACTCTTTGCATCTTCTAGCCCAAGGCCCAACTCTTCTTAACCATGTTCTTTAAAACTTCAGCTAACAGTAATCAGTACCTTCTGTCAATCAAATATGCATTGCGTTTTAGCATATCCATTGCCTCATTATTTATATACTATTTTACTTTGGGGCATCTTGACATCTCCCCGACACATAAGACTATGATTTTATGGCACCTGGATAAAGGTAAATTCTAAAAGCTTCCAAGTTTACTGTAATCTGTAACTAGGTTGTGTAACTGCTGCAATTAAAGGACATCAGATGGCTCAATCACTTCTTTCAAAATTCTACGTGTAATATGAGGAGAAAAAAAGAGGTGGATGTGACTTTGAATGGCGGTATGTGTAGGGGAGAGGGCAGCTGGAAGTAGGGTTGGAGGATAGCTGTTTTGTTCAGAATGAGTGAAGATAAGTAGGTGAGCTCATGTGCTTTTTTGTTATTATTAGGGTAGCTTATCATCTGCTTAGGACATAAAGAGATTTCTCTCACAAGATGAGATGGCTGTGGTTGTTTCTTAGAGAACCCGTGACTACCAAAGATTTTACTGCAGAACATGCTTTCTTCCTTTCAGCTTATATGTGTTTTAACTATTTTCCGTCTTTGTGTTACTCGGATCTGTAATTGACACAAAATGGCAAGACACTTAATAAAAACTCACTTGAAGACGAATTTCTATCATTAGCACAAATCAGATACACTTCCTAATAAAGAAACAGAGCTGAGGATCAAATTGATTTCCTTTGAGTGCAAGTGGTATCACTTAATAAAGATCGAAAGGATGGAAATCTACTTGTAAAAAGTTAATACTGTGCAGAGCTTTCCCATCAGTGAGTCACAGATAGCTTACAGGTGCATGCCATGCAGATGGGCTACGTGTGTGGGTATACCGCTTAGGATAATTGGGGCTCCCACGCTCCAGCATACTTACTGGCTAACCTCAGGATATTTTATAAATCTTCTTTTTAAAAATAAATATATCTTGACTGAAAAAGAAAAGCTCTGCATTACAGAGATTATTTCTCAAAAAAACTATGAGTGCCCTTATGAGACTCTCAAGCTTACATTTATCACGTACTTTGTTTTACACTGAATTATAGAATTTCTGAGACAACTTTCTTGCCTTGTCAATCATCTCCTGCATAAGCAGTCTACCCCTCATACAAAGAGTGGGTTCCTTAATCTATGTATTTTTATATGACTCACAAGACTTCAAAGCATAAAATTAAAGGGATCCAACATTGTTTGTTTTTTTTCCCCTTAGAATAAATTCTAGATGATTCCCCCTCCTCCTGACCATTGCCATGCTCCTCACCCCACCATCCCACTGTACTTCCATTTGCTCCGAAGATCCTAGATGTCATTGAACAATAGGAAAGCCTTTCATTCATTCCACAAAAGATAGGAAGATATTGAGATGAAAGACAAGGAAATTTTGAGAATAAACACATTTTATTTTATAAATGTACTGACATAATTGTACCAAGATTTTTTTTCTGAAAGGCTTCATCAGATTTTATGATATGATTTTGATGAGGAAAGACTTGGTATATCATGAACATAAAAATGCTGAAAGGGTTTCTTTGAAGATGTGAAAGGGGAAATGAGAGAACCCACAATACAAGCCTGGGCTATGTTTATCATTATTTCATCGATGATGATCCTGACAACATTCACAGTTCAGATTTCAAGCTTCACAAACCAGATTAAGGAGCCACCAAATAGAAATATTTGCCCAATAGATAGTAGAGGAAATGCCCCATAATGAAATCACTTTTCTTTAAGTTAATGTGACACTCAACCACTATTTTAATTGTTTGGAAATACTTATTTGTAATAAAAACAATATAATAGCATTATACATGGGTATCTCCAAATATAATGATTCTGCTAAGATTATTTCTTGATGGCATACTACTTCTGGTTCCTAACAGACTTTCAGGAGTTTTTTTAGAGGAACCATTTTCAAATGTCCTAAGGCA